TGGCTCGCACATGCCGTCACGACATGGAGGTGTGTTCACAGGCCTCGGGTGATCTTGCTCTGCCGAATGGGTCCTTTACCCTGAGGGCACCTGTAGTTCAGTCCAGACCCGCTGGAGTCGCAGGAGCTCAGTGTCTGGTGCACCTTGGATTCTTGGTACCTTCCCCTCACGAGAAGAGCACCAGGTGGACAGGACGGAGGTGTGGAGACAGACACATCTGAACTCGGTGGTGTCTGTCCCCAGCAAGGAGAGTGCGCACACAGCGCCTGGGTGGGGGCTCAGCGGCTGCCTCGTCTTGCTGCCCCCTGCCCCGCCTGCACCGCGCCTTCGCCGCCTCGGGTGCCTCGGGCTGGGCTGCTGGGATCCGGGCCCCAGAGGACGGTCTTGTAGGTGGATCGGCTCTTGGTACCAGGAGTTGTGGGGCCCAACCGGAGCTGTGGGTTTTCACTCTCCTTGCTGTCTGCCTGCTCCCTGGACGTGTTTAGCAGTTTCTCCAGGGTGGGCCAGCCGCCCCCTGCCCTTCCAGGTCTTCCGAGCAGCCCGTGCGAGAGCCCCCGGGGAGGCACCTGCGGCACTGCCGGCGCTTCAGTGCTGCTGGCCGTGCAGTGGCCTTGGGGAGCTTGCAGCTTTCACTTGGGCATCATTTTTATAAGCGGGGTTAAGTTACTGGTGAAGGAAATATCCGACTTGGGGTGGCATTTTTAGCGGCTTGGACACACTGAATAGAAGAGCCGTCGCAGGTTCCAACAGCGTGTGCTGGGCACAGCACCTGGTAGTGTGTGAAGCTTACAGCAAGCTGGAACCGTGGGTGAGCAACGTCACTCTGAACACATCTCAGGAACAGGTGCCCTGGGGCCAGCACTGTCGACCCCCGAGGCTGGCGTGGCCCTGCTGAGGTCTGCCGGGACCCCCGCAGACTCAAACCCGGCAGCTACCTGCTGGGACCCGGGACCCAGTCTGCCCGTGGCTATGTGGACGTGAAGCCGTGGTTCTGTGGGGGCCGCCAGGTCAGGGCGTTCACGACCCCACACTGGCAGGGGAAGACAGCATGTACCTGGGTCGGGGCGTGTGGCAGCTCCCCGGGCAGCTTCTCCCAACTCTTGCTCCACCCACCCCCACCCCCACCCCCAGCCTGGTGTCTTCTGCAGGACGGTCACGGCCAGGGACCGTTGGCCTGAGGGTCTGGGCTGTGTTGACACGTGTCGGTTACTGTGACTTCTTTTTTTTCCCCCTTCAATTGCATCAAACCCTTACCGCGCGGTGGTAAGTGAGCGCTCTGCATGCTTTTGGAGTCTGTTTCCTCTCCGCTTCCGTCTACACGATGCACAGTCATGGCGTTAACACCCCGAGTTGACTTCATCCACTTCACGACTAATTTGGATTTCAGTTTGCTGTTTAATCCTCATCGCCTTTGATTTCCGTACCTTACGCTGTAGCTGTGTTTCTCCTCCTCTCCTGACTTCCCTGTGAGGGCCGTTTGTTGTCTGACCTGTGTGGGAGACGGTGCTGCGGACAGGGCTGGGCGCGGAGGCCCTCCCGCATTCCTGGTCAGCCGGGACAGGCGCCGGGAGTTAGACCCCCCAGGGAGGCAGACCCGCGCCACGCCAGAGGGGGCGTTAGAATACCTGGGGGGGCCGCTGTGGGCGGGGCCGCGGGCTTCCCATCAGACACAGGGCAGCCCCAATGAGGGGGTGGGCCCTGGGACGTTGGGTGCTTGTGCTGGCACCCACTGCCACCCCGAGATGATGTGCCTGGCCACGGTGGCTCGCACTGCCCCCTGCCTTTGTTTCCAAGGGGGGAGTAGATGGTGACCTTTTTGATCCGTGTTGTGTCAGAACGTGGTGTTTCCAGGTGCACAGCCAGAGCATTAAGAACGCTCTAAGTCTGCTCCTGTCTTTTCCTTCAACTCCCAAAGTGCTTAGCTCTTACCACGCGGCTGAGCTGGCTTGAGCACCAGCCTGTCCTGAGGGCGGGCGAGGCTGGGCTCGCGTCTTAGCGCCGGGGGCGTCTCCATGTTTCGCCAGCGCACACGCAGCACACGGGTGTCTGGTGTCTGAGTCCCAGCGTGTTCTCTGTGCCTGTCTTGATAGCGCGCTGCTGTTAGACTCCTGCGGACACTGGTGTGTGGCTAGCCTGTTGTTTTGGCTGATAAGTCATTGGTTTGTGGTTAGTTTTTTCTTTCTTCCTTCCTTTTTTCTTTTCGAAAGCCCTTTTGCTGCGGTCACTGTGTGTGCTGGCGGTGGCTTTGCCTCTCCGTTGCCTGGAAGGGACAGGTGGAGCAATGTCTCCCTGGGCCAGACATTACTCCTGACGCGTGCTCCGCAGGCGCCTGCACCGCGACTGTGAGCTCCATGACTGCTTCATGTGCACCCAGCCCCCTTGTGGAATCCTGCTGAGTTTTTCTAGAAGCCTCCGTGAAATCAGACCCTTCTGAATTGTGTGGGCCCGATTTTTGTATGATCAAAACAAACTGCAAGCAGTTCTGGTTTCTGCTCCTTTGCGGGTCTTTTAAACCCCCCCCCCCCCCCCCTGTACATCTCCGCCTACGGGGCCACGCTGCCCTCAGTTGAGATAGGAAAAACGAAACGAAACATGGAACTCAGAATCCTAAGGTACCGATTTAAGAGGCTTTTTACGCTCACATCACTTACGCTCTTTGATTTAGACAAAAAAGGAGGTCTCATGGCTCATCTGGGTTAGGGTTCCGGTTTTGGCCAGGGCACCAGCATGAGCCTGTCCTGTCCCCAGTCTTCCTTGGAGGGACATCACTGCCCAGCTCCTGGTGTGGCACAGCCCAGCAGGGCTGACCCAGTATCAAGTAGGTGGACTCCCGTGGCTTCCCCGTCCTTCCGGAGATGACGGAGGACGGCCAGAACGGCGTCCTGGGGCCGCTGTGGACTGTGCAGGGGGCGCTCTCCCCGAGAAAACACACAGCAGGATTTTACAACTGAGATGGCGGTGTCCTCCCATCCCAGAGTGAACACTGGAACTGGGGACAGGAAGAGTGACGGTATCGCAGCCTCTGTCCACTACAGTTGCAGTTTTTCATGATGAGCATTGCAAGTGTTAACTAAAACCATTGAAACAACATACCTGCCATTGAGACTTAGTCGAGATAACAGCTCCATGAGTGTGTGCACCTCAGACGAATGGCCTTCCTGATGCTCTGAGTAGCCGTGTCTGCCGTGCACCCGCTCCGTGCAGTCCTAACACCTGTGTGCTTTCTTCTCTCCCCTCTCATGCACGGCGCACACGGACCCCACGCAGATGACGAACCAGCTGGGCCCATGTAAGTACTTGGTCGAGTGGCGGTTCAGTGGGGTTGTGTCATGTTTGTAGTTGAGTGAGACCAAGTCGCTGAGCCCACAGGGGACACGGGGGTGACCAGGAATGTCTGAGCCTGGCATGGGCCTGACTAGAGACATCTGATTCCCCTGGGACGGGCTACAGGCGGGGAGTGCATGCAGAATCCCAGCAGTCGCAGAGGGTGGAACTGCAAGTCCCGTGTGCTCATGCAGGTGACGTGGGCAAGGGGCCAGCTAACTCGGCTCGAGGTTTTGTTCATTTCGGGCCGGCCCACAGCGAGCAGAGACTGGCTCCTGTTCTGGGACCTGGGAGGAACAGGCAGGCAGTGTCTAGTCTGCCAGCCTTTGTCACCTGAGGGATACCGGGTTCGTTAGAGAACTAGCGCTGGACCTGTATGGTACCTGGAGTACAGCTGAGGTCCAAGGGGAAGTAGCTGTGTCCTGTCCGCCCTGGGAGTCGAGGCCCTGCTTAGCGGACAGGCAGCGATCCTTGACCCGCGCGACGCCTCCTGCCCGTGGAGGCCGGGACAGCAGGAAGGGAGCGGCGGTGTCTCCCGAGTTCCGCGCTTCAGCCTCACTCAGCTCATGCACTTCTCCACAGGAAAACCAACTCGACCAACAACCACAAAGATAAAAACTTGCGCCAGAGAAACACAAATTAAGTACCTGCTTGTAACGTGAGTACGGCTGCTTCAGAAGTCTTGAGGTTCTCCTTGAAGGCAGGCCCCGCTGCTGCCTGTTAGTGTGGGGGCTGTGTGTGCCTGAGGCGACAGTCCCCCTGGGTGGGGCGTGGCGCGAGCCCTGAGCACGGGCAGCTTCAGGCCGTGCACTCGTGCCCGGGCAGCGCACACCACCTTCCACCCCCTTTCTCTGCAGGTCTTAGGTTCCTGAAGCTGGGGGCGCCGCGTGACCTGCTAACTCCCCCTCCAGTGAGCAGCCCGTGACGACTGTCGAAGCATGCCTTATTTAGCCTCTCTGTAAGGGTGACCTAGCCAGGTTCATTTTAACAGTGCTTCAGTGTAGAAGGTGTACACTATTTTGGGCTTGATGTGCTGTGAATGTTGCTTTTTTCCTTTGTTACAAACACTGAGACAGAAGTGGGAGACCCCCGGGTCAGACCGTGCATGCGCCATCTTTCACTTACTGCAGCTGTTGAATTGGCAGAGCTCTAAAACATACTGCTGCCATCTAGTGGTAATTTTGTAAAGGACAGCAAAACCTACAGATATATACAGTATATAAATATATAGATCTATATATTTATATTTTTGGGGGTGGGAGAAATCCAAAATAAATGCTTGTTTCATTTTTAAGCTGCTGATACTCATTCCTTATTGTACGTTACCACGAGGACTTGTGCAGTGGTGGTACAGAGTGAGGAGTGGAGAGACCGAGTCTAGTTTTAAGGGCTCACCCTGCGCCTCTGCTAAGGAGCCGGAACAGCCCACTGAAGGGAGACGCGGAAGTGCAGGGGAACCGGCCGATTGCTTTTCGAGTGATTCTTTGTCGCTGTTGAAACATGTAAATTCTTAAACCCTTTTGCACTGATGTGTTGAATCTTATTCTTGTACATTCAATCAAAGCAAACTTTTATAATTTACCTTTTGTTTCCAATGACCTTGAAATGTATTAGCATGGTGATATTCTATGCAACTCTAGCTGTACTTTGGGTTTGACACTGTATTTCCACATTGACGCGATGATCGGTGGTAGATTTTCTGAGACTGACTAGGCTCTCCTGCGGTACGCAACTGTAGGTGCATGTGTTTGTGTTCTGTGTAACTGTTGAAGTGCAATGATGTATAAAAAAGTGGATTCACCTGTTTTTAAGAATAAAACATTGATCACAGGTGTCTGGGACACTCCTCACTCCAGCACCCTGCTGCTCCGCAGGACCCACGTCGCGGGGTTACTTCCCCAGTCCCGTCAGCTTCTCCAGTTCCTTTTCCACCTCCTCCACAAACGCCGGGAAGTGCTGGTCCAGGAGGCACAGGCGCAGGAAGGGGCCCAGCTCTCCCGCACCCCGTGGACACTGGCGGTAGGCGGGGGGCAGCTCCTCTGTCGCCAGGATGGCCTGTGGGGGGAGAGAGCAGCGGCTGGAGCAACCCTGCCCCGCAGGACCAGGCCGGAGCCCTAAGCGTCGCCTGCACACGGGCGTCTGCCTTTGCATACCCAGACGCACAGAGAGAGGGAGGTCTGTGGAGCCTGACGGAGACGCTTCAGACGTGTGTTGATGACACCTGCCTCGGTGCCAGTACTCCACTCTGCTGCTGCCCTCCTGTGGACTCACAGGACACGGCAGGCACCGGTGTCTCCCAGCTGCAGGGCCACCGGGACAGGGGACAGAGGACACAGCTCGCATGGGCGCCGTGTGGTGCTTGTGTAACCTCTTCCACAACCGAAACAGGGAACATTTGTCCCTCTTCGCTGCGGGGCAGCCCCGGACTCCCGCCTGCCAGTTCCGCACCGTCCAGGCACACAGCCCGACTTTCCCGGGCAGGCGGCTCCTCCCAGGGCGCAGCTGAGGCTCCGGGGGGCCTGGGGAGAGGCTTCCAGCACAGGACGATCTCGGGCGGAGGGGGTTTCCTGGGACCTCGCCCGCTGCAGGGTGAGGGGCACGTGCGTGCCACGCTGTGTTGAATCCTTTCACCCAGCCACCAGCCACGGGGAGTGCCAGGAGCCCACCGCTCTGTGGCTGCACAGGTGCCCCTCCCCCGAGCCGGGACATGCGGCTGGCTGTGCTCTTTGCAGTTGGGAATAAAACTGTGCATTCACATAGAGGTTTTCTGTTTGAACAGAGGTTCGCGTGTGTCCTGAGTACACACCTAGTGTGGCTGTGCCACCGGTGCTGAGGGAGTCCCAGCTGCTCCTCCTCCGCCCAGCACTCAGTGTCGGCAGTTTTTGCCGTCTAATTTTAGCTGTTCTAATAAGCAAGTGGAGAGATCTCACTGGTTTAATTTGCATTCCCCTCATGACCAGTAACATGGAGCGTCTTCCCACGCGCCTCTCCACCATCTGCAGGCATCCGGGGTCAGCAGAGCTCAGATAAGCGGCTGTGGCCGGCACTGTGCAAAGCCTGGGCGCGCTACACCCATGGTGGCCCCGGGCTCCACCTCCGCCTGCCCTGGTGCTTCTGCACTTGAACTCCGGCATCTCGCGACCCCCACCATCACTCTGGCTGGGGGGCAGTGGTTCTGGTTCCTTTCTGGAACAAATTCCCTTTCCTAAATGCAGATCAGCCCTTCAGCCTCTGTTAGAGGCATAAAGAAAATGGAAGTGCCCCTGCAGGGGCCGGCCGGTGCTGTCACCTGTCACCCACAGCGTGGCTCTGTGACAGACGGCCACGCGTGCCGTCGTGGGCTCCCTCTTCAAACGCCGATGCAGTGTGAGGATCTTTCCGTGTCACCGATGGGGTGCGGCGTGGTCATGCCACACCCGACCCGCTCGGCGTCCTGCAAAGGGACACTGATGTGCCCAGCTTACTGAGCTCGGTGGCGTGAGGCCCATCCTTATACGCACACTGGCGTGGTACCCAAGTGCACTCCCAAGTGTGCCGGACGCTGCTGCCGCCCACAAAGCGCGATTCGGAGAAGGGCTCGTCCAGGAGTCGGAGCAAACAGTGTTTCCAAGCAACGAGGGCCCTAGGCGTTGGCGGCCGGCACGCCCGGCCTCGCTTGTCTCCCCAGCGGCCCGGCCTCGCGCGGCTGTGGGCGTCGAAGTCCGCCCTGGGGTTGCAGGCCCTTCCACGGAAGAGGCCCGGGGGAACACGCCCCCACTCGTGAGCTCTGTGTTCTGTGTCCGTCCACGTCGGTGAGGTGTGGCAAGGCTTTGTTTTCCGGGACTGGCACAGGAGGGAGGCGGCCCCGGGTGCTGAGCCCGTGGAGCTGAGGCCCAGGCACGGAGGGCAAGACTGCACAGAAGACGACCATGATTTTTGAGGATTTACTGTTCATTTGAAAGGCAGACTGACACCGAGATCTTCATTCACTGAGTCCCTCCCCAGGTGGCCACAGCAGCTGGGGCTAAGGAGCCTGAAGCTGGGAACTTCTGCTGCGTCTCCTACAGGTGACGCAGGGGCCTGAGCACCTGCGCCATCTGCTGCTGCCTCTCGGCTGTGCATTGGCAGGGCGCTGGATGGGAAGTGGAGCAGCCAGGACTTGAACCAGGCAACTCCCAGGCTGGCGTCCCAAGTGCCGTCTCCCGGCTGTGCCGCGGCGTCCTTCCGGAACCTTTGATTCTGAGAGAAGCTGTGCTGCCGGATTCCGTGGTGGCGACCAACAGCCGGGGCGAGGGGACGGCGAGGTTGCCCGAGTCACCTCTGTCAGACCAGGGCACGGACAGCCCCGCTTCTGAAGTGAAGTGGGCGTGTGCCCTTTGTTCCCGGGAAGCCCTCCCCACGCCAGCCCCTCGCCCTCCTGACTGCCACAGGAAGGTGGTGGGCGAGCACGCCCGGCAGCCATGCCGTCTCCTGCAGGGTCCCTTGAGGTTCCCCTCCAGGACCAGGGCAGGAACAGTGACAGGCGCTCGGGGACCGCTGCTGTCACGCGGGGAGGGAACGCAGGGACAGGTTCTACCTGAGCGAGCTCCGTCACCGAGGTTCTGGGCCCTGGCCCGGCCCGGCCCGCTGCCCGACACGCCTGCTGCTCCGGGTCCTGGGCCTGGAAGACAGCAGAGTCAGGATGGACCGGCTGGCCCGGCACCACCGTGGCTGCCAGGAGGCCCCTGGGGCGTTCCTGCTGTAAGGGTGGCGGCTGCTGCGTGGGCGACCGCACCCATCTGTGCCGCTGGCCCACGCCTCAGTGCCTCCGTGTGGGAGCAGCACTGGGGAGGGGCCGGGGTGGGGGCACAGTGTCCGGTGCTCAGCACCTGTCACCATCTAGAAATGTTCCTCAAGGACCAACGTCTGTCACAGAGGCAAAGAGGGGAGGAGCCCTGATGTGCCGACTGCTGGTGTTCACTTCACTTCAGCCACTCAGAAGGAATCCGTTGATTCCTGGGTGACAGTGGGCCCTGCCCCAAGGAAGTCCGGGGCCTCGGGAGAGGCAGGGGTGGCCGTGGGGAAGCAGCAGGGCCCCCACCCCCAGCTGCCCGCCCTGCCCTGGTCCCAACACGCCTTGTTCCCACCATGGGCTCGGTGAGGGCTGCTGGCCCTCCGGGCAGCGCCTCTGCTGCCCTGCACCAAATCTGATGGTGGAGGCGGAGGGCACCAGACTGCTGCTGCACATGGAAGCTGGGGGCCAGCAAGGGAGGAGAAGTGAGGCCAGAGAGGAGGACGGCAGGTCAGAACACGAGTCGGAGGCCAGGGCGCCCAGGGCTCCCCCAGCTCGGTGCACGATGCCACAGGCCCATGTGGGTTCAGCTTAGCCGCTGAGCCACGTCCGCCGGAGCTGCCCCACCACCACCGTAAGTAACAGACACCAGGCGTGGGCGCCCAGCGGCGGGGCCCTTGCGCGGTGGGCTGGGCCGGGGCAGGGGTTAGGTCACCTGAGAAGCCCCTGGTCTGGCCACCGTGAAGGAAGTGACAAGGCTGAGGAAAAGTGGAAACTAAACCCGGAGCCAGGAGGTGACTCAAGAACCCGAGATAGACGCCGAGTTACCCTGCCTGCCGGAAGGGAAGGGCCGCTGCAGACTAAATACACACACGGGTGCAAAGCCACCCGCCTGAGGACGGGAGTGCAGCAGAGGGTCCGGGCTCGGCCTTGGCCAGCAGCTCCCCGGGGCACCCTGACAGAGGCAGGACCAGGGAGGCTACTCCGTGTGCCCCAGACCCTCGGTCTCCTGAAGCCCCTTCTCGGCTCTGCGGGTTCTGCCCCTCGCCAGCGGCCTGTTCCTCTGAGCAAGAGGCTGGCAAAGGCAGCAGCACGAGCAGTCACGCTCCACACTGTCAGCACCTGGCCAGGCACGCGCTCCACAGGGGTTCGCAGCCTGGATTCCAAACTAGAACTGTCTTGATCCCAGACACCATGGTCTTGGCACGTGCCAGGTCAGTGGAGATCCTGATAAAGACTCCAGAACAGGGCGGGTGGGGTGGGGCCAGTGCTGTGGTAACAGTGGGTAAAGCCGCTGCCTGCAGTGCCGGCATCCCATGTGGGTGCCAGTTCCAGTCCCGGCTGCTCCACTTCTGATCCAGCTCCCTGATGTGCCTGGGAAAGCAGCAGAAGATGGCCCAAGTGCTGGGGCCCTGCACCCACGTGGGAGACCCTGGAGAAACTCCTGGCTCCGGCCTGGCCCAGTGCTGGCAGTTGCAGCCATTTTGGGGAGTGAACCAGGGGATAGAAGACCTCTCTGTCTCTACCTTTCAAATACAGAATCTATCTTAAAAACAACAACAACAACAACAACAAACAAAACACCAGGAACCGGGAGGGAAGTGTTCTAGCCACTATCTAGGCCCGGAGCCCTCTCCGGCTGCGGCAGCCCCCTCTGCCGGCCTGCATGCACTGTCAGCTCGGGGCAGCCTGCACAGCCCCCCGCCCCAGCAGCTTCCAGCTGATGCCCCTCTGGCCCTACGCGGCGCCCACGCCTGCTGCCTGGCCCTGGCCCCGGGTCCTGGCTGTGCTGTGTGCGTGGGGTACGCCCTTCCTCATCTGAGGCAACACCTCTGAGGACCTCCCGGGACAGGCCCCGGAGAGGCAAGCAGCCAGGGCCTCAGGCTGAGGGAAGAGAAGCCCCCTCTAACACACCAAAGTCTGCTGGGTAGAAGCACAGAGACTCGCACGCAACACGGACGGCGGGAAACCAAGCAAGACCCCAACAGCAAATCGTCATGATTCAGGGACCTAACAGGACGGAGGATGGGGACGTGCCGAGGCCGGGCGTGGAGCGAGTCTCATCCCCACAGCAGACCAGCTGCGGCGCCCGGCCAGTGCCAGGGTCTTCCTGGGAGCCTGGCTCCAGCCAGCCTCGAACTCCGATGGAGCGCAGCGCTCCTGGGGGAGTCAGCCCAGCTGCCCTGCCTGGGCGAGGGCAGGGGGCAGAAGCTAGGGGCTTTCACTTCAGGAAACCATGGGGGCTCGCTGATAGCAAATCCCAACGAGGCAGGTGCCAGTGCCACAGCCTGAGGCGCATGTTGGGCCCGACCCGAGCAGCGCCTCCTCCCGGGGTGGCACGCCGCGGTGTCCTGGCGCTCCTTCCCCGAGGTGGGAAGATGCCATGCTTGTGCACAGTCTTCTGAGACCTCAGTTTGCAGCGCGAGCTTAGCTTCATCCCCGCCGAGGAACGCTGCCACGCTCCTGAAGCGGCCGGCCCCCAGCGTTCACTTCTGAGCAGACGCCCACTGCACGCTGGAGCCCGAGGACCCGGGGGCTGGGGGCTCCCAGCAGCCCTCACCCAGGGAGGCAGCAGGGCCCGCGCGTGCTCGGTGTTCTCACCGCAGGGGACAGCTCGGGAGCTGGGCCGGGCTGAGCTGATGGGCCAGGCTCCAGCCGCCAGGGTGTGTCCCTCATACAGGTGTCGGGACGGCGAGAGGCAGGGGACGCCTTGTGGTCCTGGAAAGTGCCCCAGGGAGGGGCCCCCAGGCCACACCTCGACACCCAGAACACAGCCAGGGCAGGGAGGGGCCCCCAGGCCGCACCTGACACCCAGAACACAGCCAGGGCAGGGAGGGGCCCCCAGGCCGCACCTGACACCCAGAACACAGCCAGGGCAGGGAGGGGCCCCCAGGCCGCACCTGACACCCAGAACACAGCCAGGGCACCCCTGCTGCCTGGTTTCTGGGGGCCAAAGTAGCCAGGACAAGAGACAGCCTTCAGTTTTAGAAAGCTGCTGAGGGGCCCGGCGCTGGCGCTTAGTAGGTTAAGCCTCCGCCTGTGGCGCTGGCATCCCCATACAGTGTGCATCCTGGCAGCCCCTCTTCCGACCCAGCTCTCTGCTGTGGCCTGGGACAGCAGAAGATGGCCCAGGTGCCTGGGCCCCTGCCCCACGTGGGAGACCCAGGGGAGGCTCCTGGTGTCAGATTGGCTCAGCTCAGACTGTGGCTGCCATCGGGAGTGAGCCAGCTGGGGGGAAGTCCTTGCTCTGTGTCTAACTCTCTCAAATACTCATATTTAAAAGGAAAAAAAAAAAAAAAAAAAACAAACAGCTGCTCAGGAGGAGCCGGCCGCCTGTCCCCTGCACGCTCTGCGCAGCACCGCGGAGCCCAGTGGCAGCTACTCACCGCGTGCTGTGGCGGCACGTGGCCGGCCCCGTCCTCCTCCAGGCCGTCCCCCGCTGGCAGGTCAGGGCCTGGCCCCTCCACGGCCGTGTACTGGGCCAGGCTCTGCGCGCAGCTGCAGCAGCGTCCCAGCGCCTGCTCCCTGGACTCGCCGGCGAACTGCACCCGGAACATGCGGCTCTTGCTCTGTGGGCAGAACAGAGCGCCCTGAGAGGCCGCCTCCCACCGGCTGCCGCAGACATGGGCAGGAAGGGAGCGGCCGCGCCCCCACCCCGCTGTGCGGCAGGACGCCATGACTTGCTTTTCACTGGACAGCAGTGATGGGGAACACGGCCCAACCACACTCGTCCATGCAGAATGAGTGAAGAGCTAGCCAGGTGGAAGCCACGCTCACAACGGCCAGGGCACGGGTGGGGCCCCCGTGGCTCACGCACCAGTGTGGGCTCCATTCCCCGGCAAATCCGCCAGCCTGGCGGGATGCAGCTGATGATTTTAACTCTGGCAGCCACATCGGCTGACTTGATGGCAAGTCTAAAAAACGGACGGATGGGGCCGGCGCCGGGCTACAGCAGGTTAGAGCCCTGGCCTGCTGCACCGGCATCCCATTTGGGTGCTAGGTCCAGCCCCAGCTGCTCCACTTCCGATGCAGCTCTCTGCAGTGGCCTGGGAAAGCAGTGGAGGATGGCCCACGTCCTCGGGCCCCTGTGCCCGCGTGGGAGACCTGGAGGAAGCTCCTGGCTCCAGATCAGCTCCGCTCCAGCTGTTGCAGTCATTTGGGGACTGAACCAGTGGAATGGAAGACCTCTCTCTCTGGCTCTACCTCTCTCTGTAACTGTTTTTTAAATAACTACAATAAATCTTTAAAACCACCACCACCACCACCAGACCGAGATGGTGGCAGTAACAATAGCAGGCGCCTGCCCCGGTTCTGACCGACGGAACTCCTTCTTGTGTTTGGTCTAATGCAGTCGGCCCTGCCCAGAGAACTCGGAGGCGATGGTGTGTGGAGACACAGAGCGTCCAGACCCAAAGGCCACGGCGCTGAGCTAAAACAGGTCTAACCGAACCACGGAGGGTCGCGTTTTACGCCACTTAAATAGACCCATCATGCAAAGCCAGGTGTTTGGGCTGTGAACAAAGAAACGGGCCGGCGCCGTCATTCCAAGAGCAGCCCCTGCTGCTTCCGCTGCCTGTGTTTAGTTCAGTGATCTTTTCTAAGAGAACAAAAGCACTTAGCATTGCCCCTCCGACCCGGGGCAGACGTGGAGTGCTCTGCACACGCACACACACGCATGTGACGGGCTGGCAGAGGCACCAGCAGCACGCATGCGCGCGTGACACACAGGGGCTCCGCAGCCCGGCCTTCTATATTTTACATGGAAATGGAGGTGTGCCTCGGTGCCCCGCGCTTTGGTCGGCCCCGCGCACAGACACGTGGGTTACCTCCAGCCTTGCTTCTCGCTAAAGCCGCCGAGCTCTCACGGGCGCCTCGTCTGCGGCACGGCTGCTCCGCGTGGGAGCCACTCGGCACGCTTGGGCCTGTCAGCCCACCGGGCTAGCTCTCGTGCTTCCCATCCCTTGGTTGCGAGTGCGGCTGCACACTGCACAGGTCTCGCTGGGGCACTGCTCGGCCGTGGGCCAGCAGGCGTCCTCCTGGGTGGGTGACCCCCAAGGGACCAGGAGGGCCTGAAGCCCGGTGTGCGCTGAGGAGGACGGGGGCTGGGCTGGCCCGGCACAGGACACAGCCCCGCCGCCGCCGTCAGGATGCCCGTTACCTCACTGCCCTTCTGAGCAGGTCACGTTAAGACCGCACACAGCACACACCGCTCAAGTGCGCCAGCAGGGCAGGTCCCCGAGAGCAGGGAGGGGCGTGGGGCGCCCACGGGCGAGCACACACGCGGCACGTGGTTTCTGAGAGCCCGACCTGGCCCACCTTCGCTCCCGAGTGGCTCGTGTGAGACTCCCCGCACCCTCAGACTTCCCGCCACGGACCCGCCACCAGCGGCGGCCAGGTCAGGCTGTGCCTCTGCGGAGGTATCTGCACGCCCCGTGGGAAGGAGCGCGGGCTCCTCGCCGGGAAGCGAGCGGTTCCTGTGCCGGCGGGAGCACTCGGTCGCCCAGGAGAAGAGCCCTGGAAACAGCAGTCGGGGACAGTGCCTGTCCCCAGGAGGCCAAGGGAGGATCAGCACCACCCAGTGCCGACGCCCAGCCTCACTGAGCTTTCGCTGAGCTTTTCGCTGAGCCCCGCTGAGCCCCGCTGAGCTTTCGGCACCGCCACAGCCTGGTCAGCAGCCAGTGGCAGGGGCAGCCCCGGAGGCCCCGCATGGCCAGGGGTGCTCCTCGCCCAGATCCGTGAGCGACTTCCCGTGGCCACGGGGCCCCCGGGGCCGTGCTCCCAGGGCGGAGGAGAGCACAGGGAAAGGGCTGGAGGCGGCATGTCCTTGCCGCTACTCTGGAACCGGCTGGCAGCGCTCACAGGAGAGGACTTCCCGCCCAGGCCTCACACACGGGCAGGCCTGGCTCCCTCTGCCGTCCAGGCCACAGGAGAGGAAACACTGCTGCCCTGGAGCGTGGGGCCATCACGCTGCAGGACCTCGCTTCCCCCACGTGTCAGTGGCCGAGGTCCCCCCAGACCGGCAGCCCGAGGACGCCCATCTGTGTGGGCTGCCTGTGAATCCGCCACGCGGGGCACAGCCCCACAGTGGATGGCGGCACCTTGGTGGGGGTCGGAGGGCACAGAGGACCGTCCAGGACCCTGGTGCGAGGTCACACGGGGAGGAGCAGCCCCACAGAGGCCAGGCGGGCAGCTCTGAGCCACACGAGCAGGCCCGCACGGCCCCGGGAGGTCAGTGCTATCTGGCAAGGCGGCGAAAGTAACCAACGATAAAAATCACTGACAGAAATACAAGTGTTACTGTTTACAGATTGCAAAATTAATTTCCTAAAAATTAACATCAATTAGCCGAGTTAATATGACTAGTAAGGGGGCTGAATTTGAATTAATTCAGAAAAAACCTGATACTAAGTAGCTGCAAATACTTTGAGTAAGGGATGCCATTCACAGCAAGAACAGGCGAAAGATTCCCACCCTTGAATGTTGCAAGTTATGTACACAAACACATAAAAAGCCGTGTCACAGACGGAGGTATACAGTTGGTGCTCTGTATGTGCAGGCTCCGCATCCTGGAATCCAGGCTCGCTCCTGTCACTGCTCCGGCGTGAACACAGCAGCTTTGGCAGGAGGTGTACGTGTCCTCTGGGGTGGGGGTAGACTGCGCGTCTCCCATGAGGTCCTGGAGCAGCCCTGGCTGGAGACGCTTGGGGGCCCGGGAACCAGCCCCTGGCTGCTGACAGCCGCACTGTCCAACCCCTTGGTCTACCGATGCCACCCAAGTCACAGTGCCTGTCCCGATGCCGGCTTCGTGCCAGCGCACATCCTGGCAGGCAGCAGGATGGCTCCAGTACTCCAGTCTCTGCCACCCGGGGGGCGACCTGGGCTCAGTTCCCAGCTCCTGGCTTCCACCTACACCCCCTCCCTGGCTACCTGGAGTGGGAACCACTGGATGGGGGGGGCACCTCTCTCTCTCTGCTTTTTCTTTTTTAAAGACTGATTTATTTATTTGAAAGGCAGAGTTACAGAGGAGGGGAGAGAGAGACAACTGATCGTCCATCCACTGGTTCACGCCCCAGATGGCCACAACGGCTAGGACTGGACCAGGCCAAAGCCAGGAACTTCATCCGGGTCTCCCACACAGGTGCAGGGGCCCAAGGACTTGGGCCGTCCTCCACTGCTTTCCCACAGGCATTAGCAGGGAGCTGGATTGGAGGTGGAGTAGCTGGGGCTCTAACTGGCGCCCACGTGGGATGCCAGCACTGCAGGCAGTGGCTTTACCTGCTATGCCACAGCACCGCCGCCTGCTCTCTGGTTTTCAAATGAACAATAATGGAGTGTTTTCAGTGACTGCAGTGCTGCGGGTCCCTATCACATGACTGAAGTGTGGGACCCAAGCCCCCCTCTGGGTGGCACAAGGCCGTCCACAGCAGGGCTGGGCAAGCCGAGCACGTGTCTGCCTCACCTCTGCTGCCCTGGCTCAGGACACCCGAGCCGACATCTGGGCTGTGCGGGCTGCAGCACCTTACAGGAAAACCTTCCTTGTCTAGGGGGCGGGGCACGCTCACCTTCCCAGAGTGAATGGAAACAGTCAACTGCATCGGGCCGAGAGACCAGGATGCTGACCTGGGTCCCAGCAGCCCAAGGCGCTGGCCAGTACTAGCAATGGCCTATTTGTGGGTTTCTCGTTCAGCACAAAACAGCAACAAGGCTGCTCTGGTGGGGCTGTATCCCCTGCGCCCGGGGCCCTCCCGACTGTGCCGCGTGGGCACCCGGCCACACTGCAAACCGCAGCAGCGGCTGGCAATCAGGTTCTGGGCGGTTTCCGCTTTGCGCTTCACGGTTAGGATCTAACAAGACCTGAGAGGAGACGTCAGTGCTGCAACAGCCTGCAGCGTGCTGGGAGCCGAGGAGACACATTCACTCCTGAGCTGACGGCCGGTGGGAGGCAGCTCCCTGAGCTCCTGGCCCAGCCTCCTCTGAGGGGAAGGGGGCGCAGGTGGGCAGCACGGTGTTCTTAACTGCACAAAACACTCACAGTTGCAAAGAAACCAATGGTGCTGCGCTGGCTTACGGCGATCCCGAACACGGGCTGGAGCGCCGAGCATGCGCAGTTGCTACAGCGCGGCAGGGCCAACAGCTGCCCCACGTCAAGGGTGCCGAGCCCGGCAGCCGCGCTGATGCCCCCGGACGGGAAGGCCGATGCCCCCGCGCCTGCTGCCCGCACTCACGGTGGGCGGAGCGGCCCCGAGGTGAGGACGCCTCTGGCTCTCGGAGCCCATTTCCTGTCATCGCCTCAGCCGGCCCTCACAGCCACAGAACAGGCCAGGTGAGCAGTGGCCTGTGTCTGTTAACACAGCTGCGAAGCAAATGAATCTGATTTTCTAATATTAAAGGGAAAAAAACGAAGACAAACTCGGTGAAGCCCTGCCTCCTCCACACACGTCAGCAGCAAGACGCACAGCGTGCACCCCTCCCCTGCCCATCAGTCGGGCTGCCCCCGCCGACGCGGCCCTGCCTCCCCACGGCCCGTCTGCTCCGCTGAGCACGTGCGTTCCTCCCGCCCCCGTGCACCGGGGGGGGGGGGGGGGGGCCCACGCCCGCCACACACAGAAAAGGAAGAGCAGGCTCAGGTGACCTTGCCTTTACCGTGGTTCCAAAGAGCAGACAGTCCACGCGTCGCACGATCTTCAACCAGCTCCTGCTGCCGACGAGCGAGAACCCTTCCTGAAACAGGCAGAAGTGGGGAGAGGGCTGTGAGGAGTGGCCAGACAGCTGTGTCCTGTTAGCAGGCCCGAGCCATCCACCCCGGTGCTCAGCCCCGGGAGGTGACGGCAGGCTGCGCCCGTCCTGCTGCGGCTCCCGCCGGGGCAGTGTCAGCAGTCGGCTTTCCTGCACCTCTTCCTACCGAAGATGAACACAACAGGCAATGCCCACGGCCACACTTGCTGCAAATGCAGTCCTGCGTCTGATGTTTGCCAAATGATAACCACATTCCTGCAAAACACGGGTTCCGCTGTGCTAACTTAGGAACCGGCACATCCACAGCGCACGCGAGGTTCCCTGGCTGAGATTCGGAAACGTGAAGCGGTCTGGGTGCTGTCTCGCTCTCCCTTCCATCTGGACGCAACAACAGGCGAAGGGGGCAGCAGGGGGCCCACGAGTGTCAAGGCTGACGAAGGAGCGGAGGAGACTCGGGTGCTCAGGCCCTCAGGAGCCGGGCCCAGGCTCTCGGGCCTGAAACGCAGCCACAGCCAGGGAGGCTCCAGGGACTCGTCGCTCCTGGACTGTGACAACGGGAAGTGCTGCTGTCCCTTCACAGGGACCGACACCCCAGGAGAGTGTTGTGGGTTCATTCTCCCACGCTCTCACTTAAAGAAAAGAGTCAATGCTGATTCTAAGATTTTTATCATTAATAAATTTTACTTTTAATGGAAAAAGAAAATATTTGTATCTCTTAAAAACTCAGGATTAGCAAAAAGAGGCATGCTGTAAGGATCAGTGACTGGTGTGCTCATGCCTCATCAATACAGACCCCTGCCATTCTAGAATGCAGTGCACAGGGCACCTGGCCGCACGCCCCTGCTGGCGGGAGCGCAGCGTGGCAACAGACACATCTGGAATCTACCCGGAACCAGCAGCCCCGAGGCAGGGGCCGCTAGGACAGACTGCCCGGCGCACGGCTGGGTCTCGCAGTTCTGCTCTTTAACCCACTGAAAGAATGCAGACAGCTGTGCAGAGGGCAGGCAGCCCAGCGGGCGCCACGGAAAACCATGCAGGGTGCCGGGGAAGAGGGCTGCCGCCACGGAGGTGACCACGCCTGCTGGGACGTTAGTATTAACCTAATATATCAGAACACATGAACTACAAATTGCTGTGTTCACACCAAGTTTTTCTTTTTACAACAGATTTATTTTATTTATTTGAAACAGTTACAGAGAGAGGTAGAGACAGAGACAGCGGTCTTCCATCCACTGGTACACTCCCCAGATGGATGCAATGGCCGGAGCTGTACCGATCCGAAACCAGGAGCCAGGAGCTTCTTCCAGGTCTCCCACGTGGGTGCAGGGGCCCAAGGACTTGGGTCATCTTCTGCTGCTTTCCCAGGCCACAGCAGAGAGCTGGATCAGAAGTGGAGCAGCTGGGACTAGAACCCAGCACCCAAATGGGATGCTGGTGCTTCAAGACAGGGCGTTAACCCACTGCGCCATAGCGCCGGCCCCACACTATTTCTTTTTTAAGATTTATTTATTTGAAATGCAGAGTTACAGAGGGAGCAGAGACAGAGATAGGTCTTCCATCCACTTGTTTGCTCCCCAAATGGCCACAATGGCCGGGGCTGTGCCAGGCCGAAGCTAGGAGCTTCACCTGGAACTCCCACGTGGCTGCAGGGCCCAAACACTTGAAGATTCTCCACTGCTTTCCCAGGCACGTTAGCAGGAAGCTAGATGGGAAGTGGAGCAACTGGGACTCAAACCAGCGCCCATATGGATGCCAGTGCTGCAGGCCACGGCTTTAACGGCTGCGCCACAGCGCTGGGCCCCTTATTATTTTTTGCACTAAGCCTTTGAGAATCAGTGTGCACTTTATACTTATGCCACATTTCATTTTGAACAGTTTTTTCAATGGTTAAAGTGAGAGGCAGTCCTGCCAAAATAATGAAGTTCAATTTAATAATATTTTATGTTGCTTCCATTTTAAAACCTAAATGTAAATGAAATAACATTGTAACTCTGGGGTTAAAGCCCCAGCATGCAGCGCCGCCATCCCATATGGGTGCCAGTTCAGGTTCCAGCTGCTCCTCTTCCCATCCAGCTCTCTGCTGTGGCCTGGGAAAGCAGTGGAGGATGGCCCAAGTCCTTGGGCCCCTGCACTCGAGTAGGAGACCGGGAGGAGGTTCCTGGCTCCTGGCTTCAGATCAGCTCAGCTCTGGCTGCTGCAGTCATTTGGGGAGTGACCAGCGGATGGAAGACCTCTCTCTCTCTCTTTCTCTCTCAATCTACCTCTCTCTGTAGCTGTCTTTGAAATCAATAAAATAATTTTTTTAAAAAAAATTGTAACTCTGTTTTTCAGTTCCCTGGCTGTGTTTAAGTGCTTGGGGGCCACCCTCAGCGCAGGCGTCCTGTGAGGCTGAGCAGGTGCAGAACAGGAAGGGGCGGGCCACAATGAATGCTCTGTTGGCTCGGGGCAGAGCCCAGGGCCTTGCGGCCTTCTGCACTGCGCTGGTTCTGTGGCCACATAAGCCGCCTGTGTGCAGTGAGGACACGGGTGTGACGCGGAATGGGGCTGTGTGTGCTGGGGGCGGTTCCTGAAGCAGCGACTGGCCTACGGGAGTTCCGTTCTGCTCTGCTCTACTTTCCTGTAAATTCTACCACTGTCTGCAAGTGAAAAGCTTGTGTTAAATAAGAGGAGATGGCAGCTCTAGGCCTTGGCCTGACCTGGTCTCTTCCTAGAGCTCAGGCCGGTGGGGGTCCCACAGGCCCCCTCCTCCCCACTGCCCCACAGAAATCGCAACCTGGTAGTTTCTCTCCACACATGCAGCTGCTCCTACTGGGTGCCACGCCAGCCACTCAGGCCTGCCACCGGCTGGACTCACGCTGGACTCCTGGTCTCACTCCTGCCTCAGCGGCTCTCCCACCTGACGGTCCCCCCGCCTGCAGCAGCCAGCCCCAGAACCCCAGCAGCCTCCTCCTACCTGGTCCCCGGCCCCTGCTCCCCACTCCTCACCCACCCCAAGTGACCGAGTGGTCTCCCAAGACGACATTGGAGCTGCCCCCCCAGAAACCTCTGCAGCCGAAGCCCTGACCCCTCAGCACAGGGGAGCTGGGAACCCTGGCTTCCACCCGCTGCCCTGGCAGGGAAGCTGCAGTCCAGCCGGGCCAGTGGCTGCAGCGCCATTGCGCCTGCTCCTGCGGTGCCCCCGCCCAGGGTTTGTTAAAGCCCAGCTTTGTCTCAGGCAGGATGGGGCAAGGGCGGGAGAGCTCTGGGATGACGCCTCTGCGGGACCCTGCTCTCTGGAGGCGCCACCATAACTGCTTACATTTCTTCCTTCCTGGGTAGATGAGGGACAGCCCTAGAATGGCCAGGGCCAGGTTCTAGAACACACGGTTAACCCTCACATCCTGGCACCGCCACTGCGTCCGCCGGCCCGCAGCTCTGGGCTCTGGCAGTGCCTCTTGCGCTGAGCTGTGGGTGGCTCCTCACGAGGCGGCCCAGCACGCCACGTATTTCCTCCCTCTGCTCTTCCCCAGCCTTTTCACCTAGCTCCCCTCTAGTCACTTCACCTGCCCCAACCTCAACCACCCACCCCGGACTTTCACTAACACTTGGCTGTTCCCTCTCACAGTGGTTATCTGTACGTCTGTGTGCGATTATTTGCCTTATTTATTTGAAAAGCAGAGTTAAAAAGAGATAGGGAGAGACAGAGATCTTGCATCAGTTGGTTCACTCCCCAAATGGCCACCACAGCTAGGGCTGGGCCAGGTGGGAGCCAGGAGCCAGAAGCTCCATCCGGGTCTCCCATGTGGGTGCAGGGGCCCAAGCACTTGAGCCGTGGCACACTGCTTCCCAGGTGCATCAGCAGGAAGCTGGATCAGAAGTAGAGTAGCTGGGACCCAAACTGGCTTGAGACACATTTCCCAAGCAGCAGCTGCGCCCGCTGCACCACAGCTCCCGCCCCTGCTGATCGGTGTTTCTTCCCCACTGGACTGGAAGCCCCGTGCAGGCAGGGGCGAAGTCGGTTTTGCTCATTACTGAACACACAGCACCAACTACAGTGCTTGACCCTGGAAGGTTCTTCAGTAAGCGTTACTGAGTGAACGGAAGAAGGAAACCCCTTGTTACAGTGAACAGAACATGGCACACTGCTGTCGTTTCGTTAACCCTGTGAGGCGCGCAAGCGCACTGCGTGTCCAGTGAGGTGGGACGTCTTAACTCTGACCCGACGTGCCCCTATCTTGTTCAGAGTCCAGAAACAGCTCCTCCCCCTAATGTCCTGGGACTTGGGCTGTTACTCGCACATTCCCGGATGTCAGCGCTGGCCTCCATCTCCGCAGAGCCACCTGCTGGGCTCAGCTGCCTCTCAGCAGCCTCCCTGCCCCTCTCAGCCCTCTGCGCGGCGCTTGTCATGGCCGAGGAGCTCACTTAATGCCTCTGGGCTCCTCCCACAGTTCAAAAAGTCAGAGAATCTGCCCAAGGAGGCGGCGGCAGCCGGGCCAAGATCACCACCAGAAGCCGCCACGTGAGCTGCCACGACCTGGAAGTGCAGAGACAGAACAGAGCCGGTGCGCTCAGAGAGAAGGTCCCTGGGAAACAACACATTCACCAGCAGACAATGCCCAAGCCGCAGCGTGGCAGCCGAGGGTGGGGGTGTCGAGCAGAGGCTGGACAGCAGTGCCAGGGACGCACGGGGATGTGGGAAGCCAGCACTGGGTTCCACAGCACGGGCGGGCGCTGCCCTCTACCCCACTCTCCCGGCTCCCACCGCCCTGAAACTCAACAGCAAGAACTGTGGCTCATTTTCCTGCGCCCATCCCAGGCACGTGGTTCCTCCCCCACTGCCACTGATCACACGTGGGGCACCCCCTCTGCTGTGCCCCGTTCTGGCCCAGTTTCCCAGAGAGGCCATGGGGCCGCTGCACCACACTTTGAAGCAGAGAGACGCGAGAGCTTAAATCATGAAATTCATGTCTAGATTCCAGCCACCCACGTTCTCCCTGTACCCGTGA